TCCCTGGGCAGGAGCAGGGACCTCAGAAGGTATTTCCTTGCCAGGAATACAAGTAGCTTATGGTGCCAATATAAAATATTAGTTTTGCAGCCCAGAAATCCATCTGAAATGTATGCTAAACATTGGAAAAAAAACATGCTTTTTTATCCTCCAATAACACTAAGAGCGGACTAGCATTGCATATATGGTTTCATCGTATGTTCTAAATGAAAACTGTCAGAACTGAGAAGCGTTTCAGTTTGTACGCTGGGATTTTCTGAGAGACCACTCATAAAAACATCAGCATAAAACCAAACAAATGAAAAGACCTTTTCCTAATGTTAAAGTTGCTGACTCATATCTGCAAGCAGAAACATCTCCCTGTCTTTCTCTAGATAGGCTTTTCATTGCAAAAGTACAGCCTTCGACTTCTCAGAAGCGCTGTTAAATCTACAATTGTAAAAGCAATCAGTAAAAAAGCAGTGATCTGTGTGGAGGACTTCGGCTGCCATTGCTGTGCAGTTTTGCAGTCACCACTCCTTGGCTGGAGTGAATGAAGAACTCAACACCTACCACAGCAGCATCCTCCTCAGTGGCTGAAAGATCCTGCGAACAGGAATAATCCAAAGCAATTGCGATAATTGAACCATACAGAAGGTGTTAAAGCAAGGTCTGGTCTACGCTGCTGTGTGCACTTCACAGCTGGTGAAACTGAGGTCGGGACAGTGTGAGGTGGCTGTGGGAATTCATATCTGAGTAAGATTAGCCTTTGGGAATGTCTGCATTCCCATCCTGATCCAGACCATGAAGCCAGTCCTCTCTGTAGTGGTTGATTTAATTTATGCAGTGAGTGTGTTTGTGTGGCGGGGCAAGTGCTCAGCATCTGAAGAAGAGCAGTGTGAAGTGCCCCCGGAAATAGAGAAGCCGCTGTGCTGCACTTGAAACGATGTTTTTTTTCCTTTGAGCACTGTGATTATTTGAGGAAACTTCTCCTGCGTGCTTGATGAGCTGCTGGACCACTCTGCAGGCTCTGCTGTGAGCAAGGGGCTGGTGGCCATCCCGAAATAGCTGTGAGAGGTGCTGGGCATCAGGAGGGAATGAGGAGGGATGCTTGATGAAGGGAGGAACTGGAAAAGTGAGGGTTTGTGGGGCTCTGATAATTCCCCTTTGTGTTGAAGTAAGCACCAGGGATGCAGGGCATAGAATGGTAGAATCATATGCTCCAAGAGGAGCTGGTTGTCCCCTTGCTAAGGATGACGGAGACAGTGCCCAGAAGGGTCCAGCCCTTTTGGGATCTGCTTTTTGTTGACATCCCCCTCCCACCTCCCAGCTTTTTTTTGCGTGGGATGGGGATTGCTTTGTGCAGAGACCTCTCCCTGCATCCCCATCTGGCATCTTTTTCGCCTTAGATGACAGTTCAGGAAAATACAAGCCTGTGCCAAAATCCATTCTTTATTTGGGACATTGCTGAAGCTCATGCTTAACTTTGAACTGCAGTGAATTAAAGAGGATGGGAGCACATGTTTAAAGTTAAGCGCAGGTAGAAAGGTAGGCTGGAGGAGGAGATCAGGGTGCTCACCTACCTGCACCCCTGTCAGATGCTTCTGCAGTAGTCACATTGCTCCTGACTTTCCACATCGTTCAGGTTAGAGTCAAGCCCAGCACATTCCTACAATGGTTACATTAATTTCATTAAGGCATGGGCTTCCAAGATTTATAACTAGGTGACTTACCTGCTATGGGTCTGCCCTAGGCCACAAAAGTACCAAAGTCTCCTGGTTGTTACCTGCCTTTGTACAGCAGAGATAAATCAATGTATACATCAACGATGTGATGCATTTGTTTTTGCATGGTGTCATTTGAAAAGTGAAATATGTCTCGCTGATATCATGCTGTCTTGTGGGTTGTCACCTCTCTATAACTTTGTGTTCCTCTTTCTCTTTTGGCACACAAACAGCATTAAAAAAAAAAATCCCCTTCACGTGGAGCATTGACTCTTGAAGGGTATTTTTAACCTATTGCACTCAACCATATTTGGTTCTCTTCTCAAAATACAAATTCCCAGACGTGCTCAGATGTACAGTGATTGGGTGGTGGGGGTTTTTTTTGCCTTGGAAAAAGGAATGTAATATATTCTGAGCAAGCTCCGTGTCCTCATGTAAGGACTGAAATTGGGCTTTAGAGAAAATCCCTCCGCTTCCGCCGAACACCAGTTCTCTTCCCTTTTGGGATTTATTGCATCAAATAGCTCATTTCTGTTTCTCAGTTGAAGTTTGCAAGACCAGGAAAGGAAAAAAATGCAATTTTATCATGCAATTACCGTAGTACCTGTAAATAATTTTATTTTCTCTGCTCCTTACTGTGGTGGGGTATATTTTCTGCTGTATGAGTTTCTCACCTGCATGAGAGAGGAGAATAAAGGGTGAACCCCCAAGTCCTGTGTTCAGCCATGGACCTCTTCTCTTCTGTTCACCCAGCAGATGCTGTAGAAAGGCTCCATCCAAGTCTATCTTCATTTCTCTGATCCAGACTATGTTTTCTCATGCAAACCATAACCTAGAATTTAAGTTTCCCTTTAATTGTTTTCCTACCATCAAGTTTTGTGGGTAGCTATGTGCATTTTTACACTTCCAGTGTGATTTGCAGCTCCCTCTCTGCTGTTTACTCAGCAAGTGATGGAAACAACTCCCACTGATCACTTATCCCCAGCTATTTAGCGCTGCAAGAGAAGGGTCCCTTCTGCTCTGGAGACATGTGTCACAGGTGACCTGGGAAGCAGGTCACCTTTCAGGAGCAGATACACCCCTGCTTCTCCCCTCTCCCTCCTCTGACTGCCGTCACCGTCATGACAAATGAGCTGGGTTATGGAAATCATTTCGCGGGAGCTGTGGGAGAAGATGTTCTGTCCTTATCTGCCTCCCTACGTGGCCGTGGCAGGTCTGGGGAAAGCAAAAAGCCTTGGAAACAAATGCAGCCTGGTCTTGAGGAGACGGCGATGCGTTTGAATAGAATAATGATGAAAGTGGCAAGTCAGGCAAAGATGCCATATTTCAAAAGGAGGTTGTTCATTTAAGCAAGCGCCTGTGGGATTTGGGAACCTGGCATTGCAGGGAAAGTTGGTGGCCTCAGGGCTTCTCTGTCCTTCGGCGCTTGTGAAAAATAACTCATCCCTCCTCAAGAATATTAATATCAGAGCTATATAAAGTCATGTCTTCAAAAGAGAAATAAATGGCATAAAGAGCTATAAATAGGAAAAGGATATTCCAGAATCAACATCTTCTTAAATAATTTTGCTCAGGGTAGATCCTTTTGGGGTAAAGTTACATATTTAAAATGTAAATTGTTTGCCTGCTGGGCACCTACTCTGGACCTTTTTTTTTTTCTCTCCTCTCCATGAAAAGGGACCCCAGAAGGAAAGGCAAGTAAAGAAAAACAATAACGGAATAAAAATGAGCAGGAAAAGGGAAGGGAGCAAAAGTAGGGGATGATGCTGCACTAATAGGAACATTTCCAGTGTTAGAATGATACACTGGGCTAATAAACAGAAAGAATACACAGTTAAAATGAGGGGGAAAGGGAGCCACATAGGAAATGAAACAAAAGAAGAAGGTTCAGAAGAAGAAGGTAAGAGCAGGTTAATTACAGACATTCCTTGAGGACAGTAGTCATTTACAAGTTTCATCTCTCTTTTTTATCCTTTTTAATATTACAGCAATTTCTGTTAACATCCCTTAGCCATGGTATCTACTTAACAGTGTAGATGAAACAGTTTCACTGGGTCTAAATAGTTTTCAGCAATACTGACTAAATGCAGGACTTGCAGCATAGTTTTCAAGTAGCTCTTGGACAGATTTAATATTTTGTTAATGACTTTGCATATTTTAGAATGATGAAGTGGGCATGAAAACCTGTTGGGGATGGGAGGGTAGTTGCTGCAGCCTGGGCTGCTCTGGGGATTTTGCCTGCCTTGACCTAATAGGCAGCGGACCTTCCAAGATGTTCAGCTGCAGCTATTTATTTACTTTTTAAACTCCAAACTAGGGCTTGAAGCTATGGTTCTCATTTAAGGTTTGGCATTTTCCACTTGGTCCCCAAATAATTCTCAGTGTAGATGGGGCTAACTGTATGCTGTGTGCTTCACGTAAGGCATGGCTGTCCAGATCTTGTGTACCAAAGGACTAGATCTCCAATAGTGGGGGGCTATTGCTTGTGACTCCAATAGTTGCTCAAGTGGGGGCTCTGTCCCAGAGTCCCACCATCCACTTCGGGGGGTTGGTTTTGTGTACTTTTGACTCAAGTGGCAGAACAGCTAGTACGCAAAGGTGTGGTGGTTTGATAGAAGGAACAGTAGACTTAAAATGAAACGAAACTGCCTGGTTTCTGATGCTGCTCACCAATAACCTCCACAATAAAGCAGGATCAGCTGTAAAGGTCCCCGCTTTCGGCCCTGAACACAAGTCACGCATTTCATCGGCAGGAGATGCTGGAGACTTTCTCATGCATCACCTCTCCATCCCTGGCATCCTGGGGTGGGGGCATCTCCTCTGTTTGCCCTAGTTCTTTTTCCAGTCCCCATTGCAAAGTGGCTGGGGAGCATACCGAGCCCGGTGCGTCAGACAGAGCAGGACATGGTCCTGTGCCAGGCTCCTGCCCTCTTTTTGGGATACTCCATGCAAAGGATGAAGGGGGAAGGGAGGGCTTGCCAGGCGGGGTGGACTGACCTCTCACAGGAGCCCCATAAATGAGCGTGGTTCATAAATCTCCCTCTTCAAATAATCCTGCTCCGGAGACAGGGTGAGACATCTTGATTTAGACCTGCTTGAAATTTGCTGAGCTGGTTTGCTCTGCCATACTTTCGTTTTGCCTGTTTCCTTCTCCACACGCACGCGTGTGTGTGTATATATATATATGTATATCCTCGCACATATATACACACACGCACCCCTCTGCCCTCTCTCTTCGATACCTGTTCTTCTGATGGCGGTGTACTGTAGCATTCATGTCTGTGTGTGCTTCCCCAGGCCGTTCATTGTGCTGCCTCCCCTGATGGAGTGGATACGGGTTGCCGTGGCTCACGCGGGGCACCGTCGCAGCTTCTCGGTGGACAGCGATGACGTACGGCAGGCGGCCAGGCTCCTGCTGCCGGGAGTTGACTGCGAACCTCGACAGTTAAAGTAAGTCATCTAGGACATAAGGCTGTCCAGATCTTGTGTACCAAAGGACTAGATCTCCAATAGTGGGGGGCTATTGCTTGTGACTCCAATAGTTGCTCAAGTGGGGGCTCTGTCCCAGAGTCCCACCATCCACTTCGGGGGGTTGGTTTTGTGTACTTTTGACTCAAGTGGCAGAACAGCTAGTACGCAAAGGTGTGGTGGTTTGATAGAAGGAACAGTAGACTTAAAATGAAACGAAACTGCCTGGTTTCTGATGCTGCTCACCAATAACCTCCACAATAAAGCAGGATCAGCTGTAAAGGTCCCCGCTTTCGGCCCTGAACACAAGTCACGCATTTCATCGGCAGGAGATGCTGGAGACTTTCTCATGCATCACCTCTCCATCCCTGGCATCCTGGGGTGGGGGCATCTCCTCTGTTTGCCCTAGTTCTTTTTCCAGTCCCCATTGCAAAGTGGCTGGGGAGCGTACCGAGCCCGGTGCGTCAGACAGAGCAGGACATGGTCCTGTGCCAGGCTCCTGCCCTCTTTTTGGGATACTCCATGCAAAGGATGAAGGGGGAAGGGAGGGCTTGCCAGGCGGGGTGGACTGACCTCTCACAGGAGCCCCATAAATGAGCGTGGTTCATAAATCTCCCTCTTCAAATAATCCTGCTCCGGAGACAGGGTGAGACATCTTGATTTAGACCTGCTTGAAATTTGCTGAGCTGGTTTGCTCTGCCATACTTTCGTTTTGCCTGTTTCCTTCTCCACACGCACGCGTGTGTGTGTATATATATATATGTATATCCTCGCACATATATACACACACGCACCCCTCTGCCCTCTCTCTTCGATACCTGTTCTTCTGATGGCGGTGTACTGTAGCATTCATGTCTGTGTGTGCTTCCCCAGGCCGTTCATTGTGCTGCCTCCCCTGATGGAGTGGATACGGGTTGCCGTGGCTCACGCGGGGCACCGTCGCAGCTTCTCGGTGGACAGCGATGACGTACGGCAGGCGGCCAGGCTCCTGCTGCCGGGAGTTGACTGCGAACCTCGACAGTTAAAGTAAGTCCACAAAGAAAAGCGGCGTCTCTCTGCGAAACGTGTCTCTCTTTCCTAGTGACAGCGATCGAGCAGGCAGGCAGAGGGCTCTGTTACTGCCTGGAGAGGTGCATATGGATGCTCTGTCTCGTCGCTGTGTGCGTTGCAAAATCGGCTCCTGGTATTTGCTCACATCCACGGATAAGCCGGTTGCATGGTAATGGGTGCCTGAATATCTCACAGCTGGATTGAGCCCGTCATCTGCACATATGGTTGTCTTTTTTTTTATTATTTTTTATTATTATTTCTCTTAGTATTAGGTTCTGCTTGCTAACGAGGGGCTGAAATCTTCTGCTAATTGTCTGCTTCACGTTGCTTTGCTATCAGATACCGAAATGTAATTGGCAGGGCTGCAGATATTTTTCAAGGCTTTGTTTTCAGCATTAATGCTTAAAGGGCACATTTAAACTTATAGGTAAGACTACGTCTTGCAGTAAAATTGTATTTTTCATGCTAATGTCGGTTCAAATTAGTTGTAAATGTCAGCCTAGATAATTTGACTTTTTCGTGTATCAGATATGACCTTTTGGATTTGTAATGAAGTCTTAAAGTATTTATCGCCAGGATATGTTTTTAGTGTCTGTTTTGTCTTATTTTTATGTACATGTATAAAAGCATGATCTAGGGCTGTTGTGGAGTCAAGAATATATTTGGCTTTGATTTTCATATGAAAAGGCTTTCTGAATCTGCCAAAGTAGAAATTACTCACTGTTACTGCTTCACAAATTTGTACATAAAGCCCAATTTTCAGCAGTCTGCCTCTTAATACAGCAGTAGATGCATTCTTCCCTGCAACACAGAAAGCAGAGGGGTGATCTATGTGATTAGCTGTGACAACCTGCATGGGGGCAGCTGCCTTCTGTTGTCTCTGGCCTTGACGTGCTCTTTCACCACAGAGTATAATACTTTACTGTGAGATCTGCATAGGCTTTTTATAGTCACAGCTATCCAATATTTAATTGAAGAAATATGTTGAATTTCAAAAGCGAAATCTTGAGCGTTTCAGGTTTCAAATCTGTAATTGCTTCCCTTTGGTGTGACCATCTTGGCCCTCATTTCCAGAAGTACAGTGTTTTGCATCCGTACTGAAATGTCAGAACTTATCGGTACTGCGCACTTTCTGAAGACCTAGCACTTGGTTTTGAAAAGGCACAATTAATTTAATACCTCTTCTAGTATTTAGGTAAGATTGCAAATCAGGCAATAATGTTTCTACTCTACATCTTCTGTCAAAAAAATTAGGGTAGAGACGGTTAAATGTCTGTGGATTAAAAACCACAATATATCTTAAAGTTGTATTTTGTCAGTGTATATGTGTGTATATATATATAATGCCGACAACTGTTAGGCAATTTTCCATAAGTTTCAAAATCATTTGAAGTTGGGGAGAGTTGTATTATGCTGCAGAAAAATTTATTAATTATGAGGAACAAATCAGCATTTAGTTTAAAGTTGCCAACAAGAATTCATTTCATAAAGAACAGGAGCGATTGCTGCTGTTTTTCTGCTTGTCTTGCAAGTGGGAACAAGCCTGAAGAGCGCAACCTGGGATTAATCAGGTGGGAATGAAAAGAGAAATCATTCCTGAGACAAATTTTGGATTTTAGAAAGACCAGCCTTTCAATGTGCCCTTATTTGACTGCAGGGGCCCGATTCACTCACCGATGTCCCGACGTAACAATCTTACTCTGCTGTGCTGACAGAGGTCTGCAAATAAGTGTCCGTGTACTTTGGGTTTATTTTAAAGTCTGTGTGTACTGCCGATGTAGCGTAGCAGGTTCTTTGTGTAGCTGCAAATCAGGCCCTGCCTGCCTGTAATCCTGACATCAAAGGAAAGACGGAGCTTTTCTGAAGAATAATGTGAGGCATCAGGATGTTAATTTAAACCTTGCAGCTTGTAATTTTTTATTTGTATTCAGTGCAGACCCTCAGCACTTCTCGTTTCCACTAAGTCAAGCACCAACCTTTAATGCCTCCCCATTAGGGAGGGAGTGTTTCCAACTATCAACTCCCCAGCAAGCATCAATTCCATAAATGCAAACACTGGGGGTGGGAAAATCCAACAACTTTACAGGGGATGGCTTTTTAAATAAGCTGTGTGACGGATGACAGCTGGAGGATTTTAAATGCAGTTAGCTTGATATATTTTGTGACTTTTTTAGAAATAGCTTAATAAGTAGAACCTTGAAATTGGTTCAATTTCTAGCCTTTTATTAGCATTCTTCTTTAGTCTCTAAAATATAGAGACCTGAACCCCAAAGTTCCCATGGTCCCATGTGATATTGCATCATTCCATGGTGTTGATTCACAACCTGTCATTGCGAACTCATAAAGCAAAATCAGCTTCCACACTGGAAAAACACGCACACGGAGAGAAAGGGAGAGAGAGATTGGCAGGATCTCAAAGGCAATGAAGTTCAGGATCAGTTCGGATAAAAACCAAATGTTCATTCTTATCTGAACTACAGCATGGAGGTCTCCCAGCAGATTCGTCTGACACTTCCCAGCACAGTCACATACTCCAGCAGTGAGGTTCCTGATATGTGGCTTTGTAAATCATCTCTGCTTTCTTCCTGCCTTTCATTCGAATACTTCCTCTCTTTCTCCCCTCTTCTGATCCTTTTTTAGAAACCCTTTGCCTTAATTTCTTGCAATGTTTTCATCTCCTGAAAGAGGAGCTGCTCTTGCTCTGGGTAGAGGAGTAAGGGAAGAAGCTGGAATCAGGCAGGAGCTGCCTGTCTCCTTTCTAATCTCTCCTCATTTTACAGCAGCAGACATGCCAGAAAGTTTCTTCCCTTTCTCCAGCCTTGGGAGGTGAGCAGGGATGTAAATGTTTGCCTTCCCCCAGGGCGGAAAGCTTTAAGTAGAGCAGTTGTCTCCACTTTTTGCAAGGAGGTAGGTTTCATAGATGGATTGACTGCTGGATGCACAACAGCTGGCTGAGACTAAAGTCCAAGTTGTGTCCAAAATATTCTTTGTTGTAGGGGGAAGACCAGGCTTAAATAAAGCCTTGCCTGTCCCCAGGCCCTGTTGGGCCACCTGAGGTGGCTGGATGTAGCCAGTAGAGAAGTGTGTGAAAAGTAGCTCTCTGCTTACATAAATCTGGTGAAGCTGGGTCCTCTGCTTCCTGCTTTAGACCTTTTATTAATGAAGGCATCAGGGGTGAAGGTAATTTGTTTCCAAAAGTGGGCATGGTGGTAGCAACTGTGTTGGACCTGCTCCTCTCCTGCAATAAGGTAACATGGCTTCTCAGTCTGCACTGGGTCTGGCTGGCTGCAAACAGATGCCTGGTTTTGGCTGCTCCTCATCATTGCACCTGCAAGGGCTACCTTTCCACTTGGTCCACCTAAGTACCAAGCTCTTTGCATGTCTCCCTCCATTCTGTGGGACATATGTTAAAAAAAAAAAAAAAAAAGAGAGAGAGGCAAATCCAATGTATTCAGCATTTGCTGGGGAAGATTGCTAATGGATGACCACATGTGGGGACTGGAGGCTGATGGCAGAGAAGTAGAGCAAGGGAGGAGCATCCAGTATTACTCAGCACAAAGGCTGCTGTGCTTTTTATCAAGGTCAGTGGCTTCATTTCTGGTTGCAATATATTGTGGCAATCCTGGAGGATGTAAAGATGTTGGAACAAACTGACCCAAGAGAAGTGATAATATTATGTGGGGGACTGTTACATGGTCACTTCTGCACCTGAGTGGATAAAGGGCTATTTTCTGGCCAGTCAGAGGTTAAAAGAAAGATATAGTCTGGAGTGCGAGTGTGTGTGCAGGCACACATGTTCATTCTGATATCCAGAAATAGCAGAAATTGAAGAAAAATCCACAGACCTGAGTGCAATTCCCCTCTACAAAGGGCTATTCCTATGTGTTATTTGAAATATTTTCTTCTACCTTCAGCATTGCCTCAGACCTCTT